ATCCATTTGGCCGAAGAGAGAAAAAAATATATATTGAGGTCATGTTTTACTGCATTACATTACTACATCTCGAAATGTGATTAAATGTGCAAAAGATACAATTCATTCTTACCTTTCGATTAATTTGTGTGCACAAGAAGTGAAGCATGAAATGCAGTTCACCTGCTTCAAGTGTAAGGAAGGTTTTACGTGCCCACACATACACAGCTGCAGTGAGCTACTGAGTGCACCAACTCTACAGAACTATTCTATATATATATATGTATATATACTATTTCACTATATGTATTATATAATGTAAAATATATATACTATAAAATCAAACTTTGCATCAGTTTCTTTACTATAATAAAGCCTACTGTGAACGCATAGGTAGACTATCAACACACAACTACAGCATGTTTTAATCCAAGTGTACCCACCGTGTGTAAAAACACACACGATGTCAATGTCATCAGGGCAGTTGGTATTTGTTAAGATTGTCTGGCAAGTTGTCACAAGAGGTTTGGTTTGTGGATAAATCAATTTGGGGTTCAGTATCTTGCTGAAGCACCCTTCAACATGCAGCCACCAACCTTCTGATTAGTGGACTACCCGCTCTACCTGAGCCACAGCCACTACCGCATCTAGTTGTGACTCCCTTGCTTCAACCTCCCTTTCAAAGCTCAAAGGAGAAACCACGATGGCAGCAGTTATGTAAAAATTGAACTGTCCCATCTAGAGCCAGTGTTTGGTTTGTCCATTCTGGGTACCTACAGTGTCTGTAGATATAAATGTCTCATTCTGAGGTAACAAAAACACAATGATTTTTATTTTCAGGTGATATACATTAATAAATAAACATAGTTATGCATTTTATATTTCATTTCTACCAATAAATCCTTTGTAAATGTTACATACTGGACTATGAAACATCAGTGCATTAATAAATAATTTAATTGTGCTGCTGATGATGTTTTGTGGGATGGGGGTTCTGATTCAGCCCTCAGTTCCTGCATACACAGTAGAGCTATGTTGAGTCTTTATAACTAACTAATTAAGTACAAAGCACATTACTTTACATTACTGCTGACTGTTTTCCAAAGCATGTCATGATGACGTTTGATCGATTTCCCCCCTTCCAGTCAGCCACTGGTTCGATGTCTTTTGTGCTGTGATCTTTAAGCAGATGTCCTGACTCTGATTAAAGCGCTGATGAACCCTATTGTAAGATGAGGTTGATAACACAGAGTAGTTTGCTCTCTTATCTATCTCCAGGCTTTGTATATCTGTATGCTAATTCTATAATCTCTATTATCTCAGTGTGCCTTTAAATTTAGACCTGAACGTGGTCACTGCTTTGTGTGTGTGTGTGTGTGTGTGTGTGTGTGTTTGTGGGTGTGTGTGTAAGGATGACATCATGCCATCCTTCCCTGCCAGTAGTTGGACTTTATACTGGTGAGTCCTGATCCATGGCAGCGTGGATCCGGGTTCCAGGTTTTCTCCAGCTGCCGTGCCGGAGTGGGGGTGGGACTGCACTGCAGCGAGAGAGCGAGAGAGAGGGGGATAGAGGGACATTGAGACAGAAGGAGAGAGAAAGATGCTTGCCAATGTTGTACCGTGTTAAGAGATCCACATAGCAGAGAGGAAGAACGAGAGGAAGGAGAGGAAGCTGGTTTTCCTCACAAACTGTATACAGACACTGACGCAAACTCCACATAGGTAACTACAGTTGTGTGCATGTGTGTGTATATATACCTGTGTGTTTGTGTGTGTGTTGTGTGTGTTGTGTGTGTGTTGTGTGTGTGTGTGTGTATGCGTTGTTGCACATGCATGAACGTGCCCGTCTCTGACTAATTTGTGTCAGTCTCTGTTATTCTAAATATGTTTGTTGCTCAACTTGAGCTTTCTATTTCTTCATAGTTTGAAATGAAGTCAAATGTGTAATGCTTTTGAATTTTAAAGACAACCCACCCCCTGAATCAGATTGCAGGCAAATTACACAGAACCCCGGTCTGTGTCTGAGTCAGAGAGTGTGATATTAATTACTGTATCCGGTTGTTGCTGCGTCTCTGTTATGTCTGCGTTTCTTGCCTTGGCGTCTGTAGAACCTGACATTGAGGAGGAAGCTAGAGGTGGCATTGATGAATACACCTGTGTGTGTGTGTGTGTGTGTTCAGTATGGGAGGGTGTTGCAACCACAGGTGTTTTTTCCATGTCTAAAACTAACAGTCATACATCTACTTCAGCTCTTATCTCCCTTCTCGTCATTTCTCCCCACCTCCTTCACTGTTGTCTTAATACATCTCTGTGTTTCTGGACGCCCCACACCTCCTCTCTTCACACATCTCTGTTCACTGCAGTTTATATCAGTTTGGGTTCATCTCCATGTTGTTTTTATGACATTCACTCCAGCAGTTTTGAGAAGTGCACAGTACATGTCAAACAAATAAAAGTTGTGGTCAGTTTTTTTGGCTTTTATTATCAAACTTTG